ATGTTACTGGTCCTCCAAAAGCTCGTGAATGGATTTACTGGTCCTTGTGTCAAAAAGTTTGGGAACCCCTGGTGTAGGCTATTTTCCCAGGCAAAATTATGCAAACATGCTTCTTTAGACCCCACTCATAGCTCATGTATGTAAGGGCTTGCAGGGATACTCTTCCCAAGTTTTGGAATGAAACAGAATCAGGGCAGTAAACTTTAATCATATGCTTCCTCTGCCTACAATTTTTTAGTGGGCACCACCAGACCCATATATTCCTACTAGTTTTCGATTATGTAGAGTCCACTATTCCCACCTGCCCACTATGGGAATGGTCTGGCATAATATTAGTATTTATTATTATTATTACTACTATTATTATTATTATTAATAATAATAATAATATAATTACAAATAAGAATATTTATGTGCTGCCTCCTATTCGAAGATCAAAAGGTAATGTAAGAATATCAAAGGTAGCAGGCTTAAATAAATTAACTAAAAATAATATAACAATAGCCATACATTTATTCCAAGCATGAATAAATAGCATCACACAAACAACACTAAGGGCTAATCTAATGTCAACATGAAATCAATTTTAAAACATTAGTAAAAAGTACTTTAATGTGGTATACTTATTCATGACACCCGTCAGTTTTTGTGGATTTTCTTCCTATTTTAATCATATTTTTTCTTTCCATTACTTCGATAGGAAACGAAAAAGAAATTAACTATGGCTTCACACCTGCAATCAAATCTGTGTCAGCAGAATCATATAGGGAGATTTCAGTTCACACCCACATTATTCAAATGGGGAAAGTTACTTTGGTTGCACTTTGGTGCACATTGCTATTCACACTCTGAACTGTGTGTGTGGCAGTATAGATGTGCCCAATTTTGAAGTGCTGGCAGCAGCATTAAGGCTGTACCTTATGCAAGTATGCTTAGATGGGAGAGACAAAGTTCCTGCTGCTCTTGCCTCATTCTAGCATGTGTGCACAGAAAGACCTTTCTAAAACACCTATATGTTGTGTAATTTTTTAAATTTTAATTAAAACAATTTTTTAAAAATGTAGCTGAAAATCAGGTTTGCTGATACTCACCTGTCAAAACCTGCGATCAGGAGACTGTGTTTCTCCAGCAAATACTGGTGATGCTACTAAACATCTAAAGCAAAGTAAAATAATTAAACAACCCCTAAAGCTTGTCAGGGCAGCTACCAAAAGCAAAGTAGAGAAATGTGGTGCATCTAGTACACCATGTGGAATGCGTGGGATACATACAGAAACCGGTTGGACAGCACTTCGATCTACCTAATCGCTCTTTAAAAGATCTCCAGGTGGCCTTCTTGTCGCAAACAAATTCTACCAGTCAAGTACACAGAGAAGTGTTGGAATTACAGTCTATCTGCAAGTTCAATTCTCATGCTAATTGGCTCAATCAGGATGAGAGATGGCTGGGCCATTACCAACCTAACATGCAATGAAAGTGCAAACAGCTTTTTATGTAGATTTTTGTGTTAGCATCCCCCCTATGTATTGACTTTGATCCTTATCTGCTTTGTTTTAACTATCCAATCTTCAGGTACTTACCAATTGCCTATTTTGCCTTCTGTTTTTCCCTTTGACTTTTTCATACCTCTGCTCCTTGTTTCTCGCCTCCCCCTTTCTTTTTTTTCATCCCCCCTTTTCCCCTATTTATTTTGGGTCTGCATATCCTAAACTCAAAACTCCTGTCAGCTGAAGAAGTGGACTGTGCCCACGAAAGCTCATGATATCATCTACATGTTTTGTTAGTCTATAAAGTGCTACCAGACCATTTTTTTAAGTTTATCCTGTACAGACTAACTCAGCTATCCACTGACGCTTTTTAACACTTATGTTGTCAACTTTACATACCAAGAAGTCACCAGACAAACCCTGAAAAGTCTCTAGAATGTAGCAATTTAAGCACTCTGGGGGCACATCTACATATCAGGGTTAAAGCCGAAATAAGCAACACAACTTGAGCTACATCAATTGCGTATCTTAAGGTGAAATAGCTTATTTCCTCTTTGGCGCTGTCTAAACAGCAGGAAGTCCAAGTTAGAGCACTGTTCCTCCGAATTCCCTTACTCCTTGTACAATGAGGGTTACAGGAGTCAGAGTAAGAAGTCCTCCAGCTCAACATTATTTCAACATTATGTTGAAATAACTGCTTGCTGTGTAAACGCAGGACTATGTTATTTTGGAATAACGTTAGTTATTCTGAAATAATGCTGCTATGTAGACATAGCCAAAAGGAATAAAAAATTTAACTAAACAACATTTCCAGCAAATTCAAAAAACAATTACATGCCATTATTGTGTGATGTAAAAAATTAATCATGATTAATTGTGCTGTTAAACAATAATAGAATAAAAATTATTTACATATTTTGGATGTTTTCTATTTTTTCGAATATATTTATTCATTTATAACACAGAATACAAAGTACACAATGCTCACTTTAAGCTTATTTTACTACAAATATTTGCACTGTAAAAACCAAAAGAAATAGTATTTTTCAGTTCACCTAGTACAAATACTATAGTCAGAGTGCAATCTCTTTATTATAAAATTTGAATTAACAAATGTAGTATTATGTACAAAAGAATAACTGCATTAAAAAACAAAACAATGTAAAACTTTAGAGCCTACAAGTCCACTCAGTCCTACTTCTTGTTAAGCCAATCTCTCAGACAAATAAGTTTGTTTACATTTGCAGGAGATAATGTTGCCCACTCCTCGTTTACAATGTCACCTAAAACTGACAGAATATTTACATGCTAGGTGTGCTACAGATTCATATTTTCCTTCATGCTTCAACCATCAACCCAGAGGACATGCACCCCTGTTGATGATAGGTTCTGCCTGATAATGATCCAAAGCAATGTAGACTTGTGCATGAGTCCCATGCCACTAATAAAAGGCTGATTTTCTTTTTGGGTGTTTTTGGGTTATGTACTTTCCACATCCCAAGTGTTGCTCTTTTAAGACTTATGAAAGCATACTCCACACCTCATCCCTCTCAAATTTTGGAAGGCACTTCAGATTCTTAAACCTTGGGTTGAGTACTGTAGCTATCTTTAGAAATCTCAGGTTGGTGCCTTCTTTGTGTTTAGTCAAATTTGTAGTGAAAGTGTTCTTAAAATGAACAACATGTGCTGAGTCATCATCTGAGACCGCCATAACATGAATTATATGTCAGAAGGCAGGTAAAACAAAGCAGGAGACATGACAATTTTCCACCAAGAAGTTCAGTCACAAATTTAATCAAGTCATTATTTTTTAATAAGCATCATCACTCAGCATGGAAGCATGTCCTTTGGAATGGTGGCTGAAGCATGAAGGGGTGACATAAATACGAAGAGGGCAGCATTATCTCTCATAAATGTCAACAAAATTATCTTAGCAATTGGCTGAACAAGAAGTAAGATCGAGTGAACTTGTAGGCTCTAAAATTTTATATTGTTTTGTTTTTAAACACAGTTCTGTAAAAAAAAATCTACAAGTTGCAATTTCACAACAAAGAGATTGTACTATAGTTCTTTCTGGATAACTTAAACATACTGTTTCTTTTATTATTTTACAGTGCAAATATTTGCAATAAAATAATATAAAGTGCACACTGTAAACTTTGTATTCTATGTTATTATTGAAATCAATGTATTTTAAAATGTAGGAAAACATCCAAAAGTATTTAATACATTTCAATTGATATGCTTTTGTTTAACCGTGTGATTAAAATTGTGATTAATCACAATTAACTTTGGGGGGTTAATCACATGAATTAAGTGAAAATAACGAACAGCCCTAATATATACATATGTACGCATATGTGCCCAGGCAAGTACAGTCATAAAATCATTCACAAGCAGTTAATAAAATCAGTCTATGTTTTTATGCTGTTGTGCACCCGATGCAACTACTACAGTACAAATAGCAGATCAGTATTAGCTACACCTGTTGTACCTCTTCCTCCTCTCCCACATATGGTGCTAGGAGAAACTAGCTTTTAAAAAGGCTCTCCCCAGCACCAGCTCCTGCTCCCCCACTCTTGCTGGCTCTCTCTGATAGAGGCAGATAGGGAGGGGGGGAGTGACTAGTAGAGTCACTACTACACTGATAAGCTTATGCTTATTGACCAGTTGCTTGCATGCCTTCTCCTGAGGGGATCACAATCTCCAATTTGAGAACCCCTGAAACAGAATTTTTATGAGTGTTTTGCATGGTTCAGGTTATTGGGCCTTTCTATTTCTACCTTGCTTTGAAATTATAGACTCCACCCCTTCTTCCTGAGGCCCTGCCCCTTCCAGGATGCCCACAACCACTTCCAAAATTTGTGAAGTGGCTCTTCCTTCAGAAACTTTTGCTACACTAGTTACAACGTACTGAATTATGAGAGTATCATAGGGGTAGCCCTGTTAGTCTAGATCTGCAAAAGTGACAAGGAGTCCTGTGGCACCTTATAGACTAACAGATGTAGAAGTGCATCAGCTGCTAGAAGTGGACCTCTCCCTACCTGACTGAATTAACCTTGTCAGTGGTGGCCCATCAATACAGGCGAACTAGGTGGTCTCCTAGGTACCAAGATAAACAGCCGTTGAGGGCTTTGGAGGTGTGTGCACCAATCGTGCATTTCACCTAGAGCACCAGTTGCCGGCAGCTCATCTAGGGCCGCTCCTGAACCTCATTATCTCTAGCCAGCATATTTATACCTGCCTCTGGAAATTTCCACTACCTGCCTCTGAGGAAGTGGGTCTTTGCCCACGAAATCTTATGGGCCAATACATCTGCTAGTCTATAAGGTACCACAGGACTCCTTATCACTTTTGAATTATAAGAGTTGCAGCTTTCTTTAAGTGGCCTGCTTCAGGTTGGTTTAATGGCAAATTAAGCTTTGCATGATGGGAATTGTAGTAGGAAAGAGAGAGGCCACTGAGCGAACTACTACGTCGACTGACGTGTTCTAATTTGCAATGGTTGCCGTGATTGGCTAGGACGCTTCTCTTTTTCTTACTCCGGGGGAGGGTGCCGCCGACAAAACGTCCTGCACGGCGTGCGAGCGCTTCACAGACTGGTCTCCCGGCACTGCAATTTCAACATGTCGGAGCAGCTAGAGCCCAGTGGCCTCAGCGATGAAGCCGCCTACAACGCCTGCTCCAACCCCGATCCCAACACCAAGGTAAGAGAGGCCCGGGGTGAAACTGCTGATGAAAGAGGCTATTAAGGGGGAGGGGGTTAAAGAACGTGGTATCGAGGAAAGTGAATTGTTGGGGGAATGGGGAACGTGCATTGACGCGACTCGGGGAAACGCTGTAGCAAGCAAGGGGAGCCTTTCAGTGCAGATCCCCGGGACCTTACATGAGCTGTAAGGGAGAGGATCTCCTTGCGCAGCCTTAATGGTGGTTTCTCCTCTCATCTGGATTTCCCTGTAGTTGAGTAATTACCTCTGCATACAGTTGGACGTGTCTTCGGCATACTCGGGTAAACTTTTTTCAGGAGTTGGGTCAGAGCCAAACGGGACACAGAAAAGCCTCTCCAATTTGAATCTTTTGGGATTTTTAAGTTTATTTGTTCTGGTTTTTTTTTAAATGACATCTGTCACTATTCTTTCCCCACTGTATTTGAAACAATGACCAACCTCCCATTTTAGAAGTCATAATTGCACCCCCAAAATTCAGTTCTTATAGCAAATCAATGGGATCAGTTGTAAAAGGCCCAAAGATTGTTGATGTGCTGCATTTGAATCACACCTTGAGGCAAAATCATGAGTAGGAGTTGAGACTCAGACTCCATTTTTAAAATTCTGTTTCAGTTTAATACATACTTCACAGGATCTTTATTCTGAAAATGAGGATTGACTGGGGAAAACTCCACAATAGTTTTGTGATTGTCTTGTTTTGGAAGGGACTGTGCAATAATATTTGAACTGTTCTTGATGTGGAATTTTATCTTTTACATTGCATGTTAAGGCTGGACTCTCCAGGAATATTTCCATTTTACATCAAAAAGGGAATTCTTATGGTCACAGAGTAACTGAAATTTCTCTATGACCTGATGAGAACACACTTAAAATAATGCACATGGTTCTGGGGGTGCAAAGCACTAGCAGACTAGAAGAAAAAAATTGGGGATTAGGGGAGAAAATGCTCCTGAGTAGAATGCCCAAAAGGCAAAGAGGGAGTGTGAGGAGAAAGCAACACTGAGATCCTGCATTTTTCTAGGTATGTATGGGTTATCCAGACATCAGAGCTTATGTTTCAGAGCTTTGAGTAGTCATCTTCAGCAATCAGAAAGGGATCCAAATAAAAGTAGCCAACTACACACTGGGAAAAATATCCTATCACCCATATTTCCCTTAAGTATCTGAGATTGGGCACAATTGCAGATGTTGTACCAGGGTACTGAAATGGTACAGAGAATCTTCTTACTAGGTACCTGGCTTGTGTTTCTTCATCAAATGCTCAGTTATGCAGATCAGAAGATTTTTGGGGGGTTGAGAAGAAAATTTTTCACAGGTCAGATTGGCAGGTAATTGATTTGGTGGCTTCTGCCTTTCTGTGTAGCGTTGGTCATGATTCATCTGAATATATGGAGCCTACAATTATCTGTCATTTCAGGGGCCTCAGGCTTTGGTAGCACTTTTAGCCCCTCTTCTACTATGTCTGGGGCACACACAAATTTATTCTCCTCTGGAATTGCAATACTTTGGTCTAACTCGGGTTGGCAACCTTTTCAAACCGAAGAGCTAAATTCAGAACATGTCAACAAAGAGCCAGTATATAAGAATACCCATTTGCATGACTGAAAATATTGATAACTGACATGATTAATAGTAGCATAAATGAAACATTGTACTTACAGACTTTATTTAATGGGGCGGCTGCTGCTGCTGTTTGTGGAAGTGGGAGTGCAGGAGTCAGGGTTGGAGTTGCACTACACTCTGCTGTCACCAGTCCTGCCGCCAGGCTCTGAGCTCAGGAGGGCTCCTAACTGCCAGCCCTCCTGCCATTGGGCTACCAGCCAGGACTTTCTAGTCCAGGAACATCTGTGTTCCTGCCAAACCATGGAGGTTGCCGGACCAAAGATCCCGATTTTGGGAGATCCAATCTGTTCAACATCTGTGTTCCTGCCAAACCATGGATCTCCCGATTTTGGGAGATCCAATCTGTTTGTGTTTGCAGGGTTGGGGTAGTAGACATACCATGTATGTAGTTATATTTATAACTTTGATTCTACTGATCCTGGTAATATCCTTCTAAATTAATGGCTCTCAATACAATCCCAACTTCATGCATTTGTATTGTCATCTTTATGTGCTTTCCTGAGTAACAGATGCATACTTACTATAATTTTTCTCTAGGATTTTTTGTTGCAGCAGACTATGTTAAGAATAAAAGATCCAAAGAAGTCATTGGATTTTTATACAAGAATTCTTGGAATGACGTGAGTAAAAATTGCATGTGATAAGATTTGTTTCTAAATATATTTTCTTTTGTGTATTGATCCATTTTTTTCTGAAGAGCAAATGTTGGCATTTAAATCTAATTAGACAAACAGTTGAAATCATCAGCTAGTTTCCAGTTTGGTGACTCATTTAACTTAATCTTGATGATGGAGGTTTTCTACAGTACTCTTACATTTCAAATAGCAAAAAAATGAAATCAGAGTAGTTTTAAATCAAATGTTCTACTGGGCAAATTATCAGCTTTTTTAATGCTAGTTTTGCTAATTTGCTGAATTTGTTTGCCTATACAGGCAGTCCCCGAGTTACGCGGATCCGACTTATGTCGGATCTGCAGTTACGAACGGGGACCTCTCCCTGGTCTCCAGCAGACCAGGGAGAGGAAGCAAAGCAGCGGAACACGCGGGCAGCCCAGACGCGTCTGGGCTGC